CTAATTGATAATGAATTGGTTAGTTTGAAAATTTATTAAATAAATAAAATATCTTTGTTAATGTTTTATGGAAAAGATTTCAAATAAGCTTTTTGTATTTTTTTGAAAATTTATGAGTGCTCCGTAGAAAAGACTTCAAATAAGCTTCCTGTACTTTTTTCCTTTATATTTTAAGTACATTAAAATTCATCTTTAAACTGTGTTGTGAAATGTTACTGACAATAAGAACTTTTCGTATGTTATTATCGTATTGCAAATATAACTTTTTATGATACGAAAAAATGTATGCTTCTGATCTTTAAACGATCATTTGATGAGATATTGCTCATTCCATGTCATTCGAGTTTATTTTTTCGATCGGAATATCGAAGCAATTCATTATTCTTGAATTTTTTTGAAATTATGTTAAGATTTCAATTTTATTTATTAGTAACTACAATAGTTAATAATAAACTGCCAGAAATGTTATTATTTTTAAGATTTTTATGCTTTTTACAGCATTATAATGAATAGTATTATTTAATTTATAAATATATATACCTTAGTTTACGCTTTGAAGACACGTTCGAATTTTTTTCAAATCTTATTTTTCATTTAATATGGTTGTCGGAACTTTGACGAATAAGTAATGGGAGTACACAAGTTAGCTTATTTATTATTCGTAAATGAAAAAAACAAGAAAATTTCTTAATTTGACTTTTGAAAAATGTTAGTAAAAAAGATAACAGTATTTAATTTATTAACTAATCATTGATGCACCAATTTATATAGTTTTTGAATGAAGAAAGACCGTGAAAACCATTTGAATCATTAATTATTGCAGTTAAGCATTAAATTAGTCATTTCTGATATTCTTCTTTGGAATAGCTTTATGTAGCAAATTTAAGCATCTTATTCACATTTTCTACTTCATTATTGCATGCTTCTTACGATTAAATTCTATGTAATTTAACAGCTTATTTAACCTCTAATTATTCTTCAGCCTTAAATTTTCTCAACTAACCAACTGCTACTTTAAATTGATTCTACCTTTCAGAGAATTTGGTACTTTCCTTTCTAACTTTAATTTTATAAAGTGACAAAATGTCAAAGTTGACATTACAAAAACTTGGTATTTATACCCTTCCATGGTTATTTTTCATCGTTATAAACTGCTCAACAGCTACAGTAAGTTCTTTTTTACTTTTTCAGCAATAATATTCAAAATTGAGTACTGTCAAACATTTATTACTTTAGAAGAATGTATTCTTTAAAAATGCATCCTTAAATAAATATATTGCATATATAAAATTTTAAAACTTCATATATATTCAAGAAACAGTGTAAAATAATTTTTATGTACTAATTCTGTTCCAATATATGCTATTATTTCATTATTTAGCAAAGAGGCTTTTGACGTAATTCAGATAAGAAATGCTTCAACAAGCTATCAATTAAAAGATTTATTACAAATGTTATTTAAATTTGTAAGAATTTCAATGATATATCTAAATGCATTTTAGGTTTTAAACAGATTTTATCACTTTGATAATGATGATATCGTTGATGATGACCGAACGCCACGATTGTTCTTTGCCAAGCCCGCAATATTCGCCAAAAAGCAAATGAGTGAACGAGTTGTTAATTCGCTTCTAAGAAATGCATGGATTGGTTAATTAGTAAACTTCACCAAGTTCCACTTGCTAATTTGCATTGAGTTGTTTTCAAACTAAAAATGTAAACACTCAAGTGCAATTTTTAATTCAATAAATTTACCTGGTACGATAATTCAATCATTTACTATGTGAGGATGCATCGCAATCTCTCGAAGTGGCAATTTTTTACACATTTATGGGACTCTTATTTGAATACTTTCTTTAGCAAATCAAATCAAATTTTACAATTCATTTAATTGCATGTTTTTTTGCCATAAAATTTAAATTTAACTTCTATTAAATTAAGGATATGCTTCGGGATTTTTAAACACTGGTGATGGATAGACGATAAAGAAACAATAATTTTTCCGACTTTTTAGAAAATCCTCATTTTTAGTAATGAGAATAGTATAACTATTGAATTTTAATAAACTTCAAAATCAGACTTTATTTTTGGACAGATCTGTTAAAATACCAAAATATAGAAATGTTTATTTCACACTATTGATATTTCATCCTATAATGAAAGTTATTGTCCCATGACATGTTTTATTGAAGTTAAATTATTTCAAATTCCTCAAATTGTGCTTTTGTTTTAAAGATTATTAAGAATTCATACGGTAATTTGCTAGAACAATCCATCTAAACAACAAATAGGCAAAGTGCAATATGATAGTTAAAACTGCATCTATGGAAGAATTTCGAGCTTACAAAATAATTTTTTGGTAAAATTTTAAATTAGAATCAGAATTTCAAGAAAAATGAGATCAAGAAAAATAAGACTTACAATATTATTCTCTATGATATGCCATCATTTTTCATTTTAAAGTTATGTCATCACTTTTCATTTTAAAAAATATTGACAATCTTCAATTGATACTATCAAACAGCCCATTCTTGACTTCCTTGAATTCGATACTGTAAGGAAGCAATTTCTGCTCTGGCGCAAAGGATTTGTTGTTGAGCCCTATCTTTCTCGCTTTGCTTCATTTTCTGGCCAGTCAAAGTTAACTGAACGCGAAGCTTAGATATTTGATATTTGCACTATAAGTTTGAAAAGGTAAAGTTAATATCGTTAAGAGCAAAATATAAACATTTTGAAAAATTAATATATAATTTAGCCTAATTTAATTAACGTTCAACATTTATTGTGTGAAATATAAATTTTCCTCATCTAAACTAAAAGTGAACAATTCAAAATCTAGAAAAAATTTCTACTCAATCCTGCGATATAAATTTTTAGGAATAAATAAAGCAGGATTTATTTAATTTAGCAAGTTCAAATGTCTTCTCAGAAATTTTTTGAGTTCTTCAAACAACGAAATTCTCGAGGAAGTATGCTTACCGTATGCAACACGCTTCGTAACAACTGTAACTTTTTTTCTGTAATCTTCAGTTCATTTTGCACATCAATAATACAATCGGTGTCAGCAGAAATGAAAGAAATGCTGTGAGAGATTACATTCAACTTTCATAGAACTTTGTTAATTTTGAACTTTCTCGAATTAAATTTTTGGACATGTGATTTGCGCAAGAGAATAATATTTTGAATTATTGAATAATTTAAGATGAATTCTAAGTTTAAGCACTTACTTATGCTTTTTTTCATTTCCGGCTAAATGTTTTATTTCATAAAATTCATTGCGCAAACCGAGTAATTGTTCTTGCAAATTACTGACAATTTTCTGGTTTTTTCCAGACCTTAAATTAGAAATTATACTGTTTTTGAAGAAATCTGGAAGATATTAGTTCAAAGTCTTAATGAAAAAAAAACATTTCTTAAAATTGCAAATTGCAAGAGAAAAAACAAAAGATAATCAAAAATAAATGACATTAATGAGATGGAAATCAGTCTCGGCTTATTTTGTAGCATGGATTGATTAGTTTATGAATTACTAAGGATTCCTCCCCCATGCTCGTGGCAATTAATTGTTCTAAAGGAATTTAATAAATCAAAATAGTGTTCCTCATCTTTTATAGGCTGAGCAAAATTTGCGGAAAAAACAAAACAGACCTGATTTTAGCATATGCAATTTTCTCTTTTAAACAATTAATATCATTGTTGATTTTCATCAATTCACAGTCCCTAACATCAAATTTATGCTTCTCTCGGGGATGCAACAAATTTTTGGTGTATTTAAACATATTTCTAGTGGAATTTTTAGTTGAAAAATGAATTATTTCTGCAAAAAAATGACAGTTATATTTTTTGGGAAAACATTTCCACTAACCAAAATTTAAAATGCTAAATTAATGAGAGTATGAGCATTTTATAATGCTTTTCTAGCAGACTTTCAAGGAAACTACTTCATTCATTTTGGAAAGTTTCAGAGAGAAAAGAAAAAATTGCTCTCTGCGAGGACATTGAAAGAGTGTGTCTCATAAAAGGTGGAGAGAATTGTGGATAAAACTTTTTATGACACCCGGAAAATTTAACCGCTTAAAAGTTAGTATGATCTAGTAGAATTGATAGCATTTTGAGGGGTCAAATTTTTAGATGAATGAATAGCAAAATGATTGCAACATTTAGCGATATATTCTGTTCCATGGAAGTAAGTTATTATCATGAATTAATTTCTATCATATAATGTTTTCGTTTTGTTAATTATAAATTAAAATTATCTTCAAATTCAGTACAGTTCTTTTTTTGGTAACATTAATACCAAATAGCACTAAGAATCAATTTTAAATACATCATTCCTGATCCGATATTCAGAATGTCCATGAAACATATTAAATACAGCGTACAGAAATATATCCAAAATAAGACATGGACATGTTTGGAAAAACTTTTTTACCATAGCGTCGATTTAAATTTTACCAATATTCCAGTTTTATTGGAAATTCCACATCAGCTGTTATGTTGACCTTCTCAAAAATTTCTTCCGAAAAATATTAGTGAATTTCAACATAAAGTTAATCATTAGCCTAATCTATTAAGAGAATTCATAAAACTAAAGGAAAACTTTACTTATAAAATAATTAGACAAGCAATTATTTCCTTTAGAAAATTCAGATTAAAAATGCAAACAAACCAAAATTGATTCTTCATAAGTAATTAAATAAAATAAATCCAATTCACCAAAAATTTAAAATGCTGTATCACTTAAAGCTCAATCATAAATATTATATATTATCAGAAAAAAACCAAAAAAAGAGAATGCTCATTAAAACATGAGTAGTATTTTTTAAAAAAAATGAAGTTTTGCAGAAAAGAAAGATAAAAAACGGATGATCATCGAAAGGATCAAAGAATACATTGTCGTCATACTTTCAAACAGTTTAAAATAGTTTTAAACAGTTTAAAATAGCTCAAATAAATGAGAATAGTTTGATAGGATGAATAATTAAGCAATGAAATAAAATGCGAAAAAAAAACAATTTTTTGTTCTAAGCATTTTTTGACACGAAATGGCAAGAAATTTTCGAACATGCAATTGGTTGTGTTTAAAAAATGAACTGCTCTAATAAAATATCTTAGTTGATTAAGGCAAGCTTAATATAAAAGAATGAAGAGAAAATAAAATTTAATGGAACTTTTAAAAGGCAATTTATAAATTGAAGAAAATCTCGAAAAAATCTTATAACGATATGAAATCATCTTTTTTTTTAAAAAAAAAAAAACATTTCTCTCTTGTAATTTACACGTAACTTAAACTTCTGAACATTTCTGAATAAATAAACCAGTAGTTTCAACCTCAACAAATATCTAAAGCGATTTTAAAATCTCTCGAATATGGAAAAAATCGCAACACTTGAAAATGGAGTATAAATAATCATTAATGAATTATTTATCAATAATTTCTGATAAGATACTGTAAAATTATACAAACACGATTGCGAAAAATGTAAAAAATGCTCGCCATTTTCCATTGTTGCGATTTTTAAACAACAAACAAATTAGCAAAAAATTTTAAATGGATCAAGAAGAAATTAATTGTTGTTCATTTACTTCGTTCATAATTATTACCATAGTCAGCATACTGATTAGTCTATTATGTGTATCAAAAATATCAATCGTGATAATTGGAATGTCTAACATCATTGTATTCAAGAACATTTTCAATATAATTGCGCCGCTTTCAATGAAACCCAATGGTGTGCTTAAAAATGAAAACAACAAAAAATTTATTTTCGCTAATAGAAATCTTCTGTCAAATTAAGATTAAAAGATTTCAGGAATAGAAAGAACGATTAACGATGGCTTTAAAAGGAATAAAAGAAAATTAACATTTTACAGTCATTTTGATATTAATTTATAATCCTTTGAAAATGAGGAGAAATAGATATTTTACGACAGTTAGACTACTGAAAACAATTTTTGTAATACAAATTCTTCCACACAAAAATATTTAAATTATTTTAATGAATTTATTAAAATATCTCGATTTTCAGACAGTTTGATACGAATGAAAATACATAGTAACAGCTTTTGAAAGAAAATTTGTAATTTTCATTGAAAGCACACAAACTGTACCAGAAGGAGTGCTTTGTTACAACCGATTACAAATACAAAAATAATCGATGCATATCGAATAAGAGGTTGAAAAAATTACTTCCAAACAACTTATTTGCTATGAAAATCGTAATTGTGCTCGTCTGAAATTTCATCTTATATTTAGTTCCATCCAGCCTAAATTGACATATGCGACAAATTTTCGCAGACCGTTTTTTAAAGCAGTAAATGAATTAACTATTAACGGTAATGGCTGATCTACATTTTCCATTCTGTTTAGATCAAAAAATAAGAGCGCATATCCGAAAATATTCCTCTAATAATGAAGCTTCAAAAATTTTAATAATTCATTTATTTTTCAAATATTGGTTAATTCAAAACGATTTAAAAAGAACTTTGCGTATAATTGAATCTTCAGGTTTGTGAATGCAACATTTTTTGAATCAGAAATGCTTTTTAAATTTGTAACAAAAAATTTTAGCTCAAATCGTAACTAAAAAAAGATGATTTTCGACATATAAATGTTTACAATAGAAAACTGAAATTTAATATCGTTTTAGAATTTTAGGTGATTTTTGCGAAAGAAGAGCGTAAAATGATTGCAAAATTTTGGAGGCTGAGATGTAAGTCAAATTCGACTAAACAGATTAGAGATGTTATGGAACATGAAATATACAAAGTATTGTTCATTGATTTTTTTTCATCACTTATTTAATCATTTCATTTAGTTTAAGTGCGAAATTTTAAGTGGCAAACACATCAATCAATGATCAATCATCAAAAAACAAAAGGATATCACAATGTGTATAATCAGAAGAGATCTTTAATATAACCATCCTCGTCTTCTTCCCCTTATCAATGCTTTTTCTAAATGTTCAACTTTAGTAAATATAAAACAACAACAACAATAATAATTTAAAGGCATTTGTTTAGCAGAACAAAAATTTTGAAGTATTTCAAGAGCAAATGATCTTAAATTGAGCATATTGCTTTTTATCTTTGAAAAATAATGATAGAAGCTTCTAATTCAAAAGATTTGAAATATTTGAACAGATGATGAAATTAATACAATGTATTAATTACTATTTTCATCCTTTTCATGAAGTTTGCTTATTTGTTTTAAATAAATATTTGGTATGTCTCGTTAATTTGACTCTAGTTTGGTAAGAAAATACAAAATTCACGTATCGCTTATTTAACAAAAAAACTGAAATAAAATAAAATCGCTACACAACAGAAAAAACTCTTTCTGACCCTGTAATGTGAGGACATAACCGGGCATTGACCATTTCAAAAAAAAAATAATGAATGACATCCATCGAATCAAATAAAATCTGAGTGATATATTCAGGCGTAAATGTAATCGATATGGTCAATGTTTCTTTATGTCTTTATGCATGTTCTCTCATTATCAACCTTTATTCAGTTCTAATTTACAATGACCATAAATTGGAAGGGAAAAGGAATGGAATAATCAACTTTCTTGCACTTCTTATTTTTCTCTTCAATCTGATCGAAAATACTTAACAATCTTATTTTTTCAATTAAATCTTTTTTGTCCATACCCGATCAGGACAGTTAATCTTCTTTAAAAGAAACTTAGGGAGAGAATTCCTTCTTTCTCTCATTACGAAATATTGCTGGGAAGATGATAAGGATAAAAAAGATATCAGGAAAATAATGGAAGAAGAGATAATGTTCAATGAATGAGAGCAGTTAATGAGACTTTCTTCCTCTTTTTAATAGATGTTTTAAAGAGTGAGAGAATAGCGAAATATAGAAGAAATCCTCTCATAATCGTAAGTGAAAAAGTGAGAATATCAAGAGTGATCACAGTTTACAGTTTGTGATGCAGACCTTAATGAGTGAGTTATTGTAGAGAGCAGTGGATACAGTGATGTGGAGATACTGCTATCTGATGGATTTAACTGTACATCATCATGAGATCATCCAATATATTCCCGTCATTCTGACTGAAACTTTAGTTGCAAATTTGTCAGTGTAGACCTCTGAGATCTCTTTATTCATTTATTTATTTGATAAGCAAATAATCAAATACCATTTGATTTCCTGATTTTCACTTATTGACCTTTCATCGATCTCATTTTAAGTAATTACTTAGGATCGTATACATAATTAATTTGTTTGCTATGCATGCATGTCCATTTCTTGTCGGAAATTGTTATTATTCCCATCGATAATAAACTTTATAGAAATAAAGTAGACAAGGCTATTAGCCAAATTGATCAATATGATGATGTGAAGACATATAAGACTGAAAAAGCTTGAAAATTGTATAAATTGTATGCACAAAAGTAAGTCAAAAAGACAAAGCATTAACACACGGAAAAGCTGTTTATGAAGAACCAGCATGACGGCAACATTCAGTTACCAAAATCGCCGATCGAGATAGGTAATAACTACAAAAAAAAGTTATCAAAACCTCGTGTATAATAAAACAGAATTATAAACCTGCCCACACTACCGGGGTTAGATAGTATAATACGAATTTTCACTGTCGCATCCCGCCACTAGTTAAAAAGGAAAAGAGTTTTTAGTGAAATCAATTTGTAAGAGTCGAGAGAAAGACAAAATCTCTAATTACAACAGAGACTAC